AGGGTGGCGCCTCCCACACCCAGGCCCTGGTGCGGCTCCCCCCCGGCGGCCCAGAGCGGCTTTCCTCCGACCAGGGACCAGGGCTGTGTGCTATGCTCCCAGGCGCCTGGCTGCTCTGAGTTCCAGAACCAGCTTCCAAGTTTCCTGAAAGGTGCTCCAGGGCTGCAGGCAGGGCCCTGCCCAGGACGTGTGAGCCAAGACTTCCCTGCTCTGTGCTCGCGGCTGACCCTGGCCTCAGGAGCCTTCCTCTCCTCATTAGGGAAGGGTGCTGGGAAGGCCGGAGGAGGCTGCTGGGGGAGCCCAGGCTCTGGAAACCACCCTAAGAGAAGTGGGCCCTTGAGCAGCCCTGCCCTGCTGTGGCCTTGCCCGCCCTTGGCGTCGGCAAGGCTCTGGTGCTGGGAGGAAGGGCCTGGGCTGCACCTTGCAGGGTCAGGGTCTGCCAGTCCAGGGCTGGGCCTTCCTGCCTCAGCAGACGGAGACCTGGGCCTCGTCCTGTCCCTGGGCTGCCCTGGTAGCTGGCAGCAGTTGGTGGGGGTGGGGAGTGGGCTGGCGACCTCCTCTCTGACAGGGAGGGCCTCCACCGAGCAGGAACTGAACCTGGGACCCAACGCACACGCTCTCGCACACACCAATCCCTGCCCCCAGGGCTGGCTGGGAGGACTGTTCCTCTGTGGTGTCCCGCATGCAGATTCCGGTCCCACTTTCCTTCCAGATGTCCTCGAGTACCCCTGGTGCCCCGCAAGGCACAACAGCCTCCTCTGTTCCTCCGGCCTCTGCCCCCCCAACCTGGAGTGCCCTCTCCTAGCGCCTCCCCCATACCAGCACCTCTCACCCCTCAGCCCCAGTCTCCCCTCACTCCCAGGGGTGCCCGCCTGGCCCCCAGGAAGGCTGGTCTCTTATCTCGAGCCCGGGCCTCCCCTGTGCAGCACTCCTGTGGGCGGCCCGCCAACTCGCTCTCGCTGCTGCGTGCACCGGCCAGTGCCCGACGGCTCGCTGGGCCAGTGGATCATCAGGTGCCCTCGCAGAGGCCCGACCCAGAGGCCCTGTGTGCCCGGGTGGGAGGAGACATGCGTGGCAGGGCGGGGGATGAGGTGGGGCTCGCACTGAGAGGACAGGCCAGTCTGGGTGTGGGCCAGGAGACAGAGGGGCAGCCCGTGCAGTGGGGCAAAAGGCTTACATAGGTTTGCAGGGAGAGGAGGGACCTGGGTGTCCTTCAGGAGCATAGCCAAGGGCAGATACCCTGAGGCCTTTGCACGAGGTCACCAAGGGTGCCACCCCCTCTGTAGCAGAACTTCCCCCCGAGAGAAGCAGCAGGGTGGGTTCGAACCTGCCACCTCCTCTCTGGGGCCCCTGTCCTTGTCCGCAAAGTGGGGCGATAAGACCAGACTGGTGGGGTTATTGAGAGGTCAGCCGAGGGAATGCTTTTGAAAAGCCAATGTCCTTTATTTCTTTCCAGCTCTGCAGAACCACAGCCAGAGGTGAGGGTGGGCTGGAGGGGACCCTCCTGGTCCCGGGAAGTGGCCACTGCAGTTTGGGAATTGCCCTCAGTGGATGGTAAAGGAAGCGAGTCTTCTCGTGACTCATGGCCCCTGGCGTGGCTGGTTCTGGGCCCTGCTAATTTTGCCGAAGGAGAGACTTTTTCTCTGTCCTTCCCAGCTTCGTTGTTCAATCAACAAGCTCTTCCCGGGCCCAGGCACGGCACAGGCATGAGGAAAACTGAGATGTCACAGCACACTCTGCCCCCAGACGGGTCCCTTCCAGGCGTGGGGAGGCGTGGCCCCCCAGGCGGCAGCAGAGCTGTGGGCCATGGTGCGTTCTTAGAGAGAGCGTGCCTGGGTGTGGAGGCCAGAGTCTGCCTTCGCCCACACTCGCCCCTGGGACCGCAACCAGGTCCATGACTGCAGGTCTCTAGCTGGGCGCTCTCCAGCGCTCCAGACTCATGGCAGCTGCTACTGATGACCACATGGGTGGCTGCTTGGCAGGGCACACACAGCTCCAGGCCGGGGCCCTGGCAGCTCTCCTCGGGCTCGCTCCGCCCCATCCCACCACCGGGCAACACCGGGTCCAAATCTTGGTGCCACCTCTACCCATCTTTCTCTCTCACGGTCCTATCTGCCCACCAGCTCTCACAATACATGCAGAGACTGATGAACAGTGACAGAGAGCAGCTCAGCGTGCCTGGCGTGGGGCGCGAGGGTGGACGGACGACGTGAGGCGAGTTTGGAGATGATGGAGACGTGAAGTCCTGATCGCTGAGGTGCTTAATTGTTAGATCTGCAACTCATCAGATTTCGGACTTTAAAAATTGCCAGGGACCAGCAGGTGGCGTAATGGCTATGTTGCTGGACTCCCATGTGGTTGACCACGGTTCGAGTCCCAGACCCGGTGGCTTAAACTCACACTGGGCACGTGTGCGTGTGTCTCCAAGATCCCGAGAGGAGAATGGAGGAGAAGGGATTGCGGTGTGGCCATCCCTCCTGGG